TTGGAGGTTCACTATGACAGGATCCTTATGTTCGGTCTGAGCCAAAGCAGGCAGCTTGGTTCCCATCCAAGGATTATTTATGGAGCCACTAGAAGAACGTGTCAGAGTTCAGCAGTGTGGACCCGGAGTGCATTTATGTTCACGTGCATTTATGATTTATCACTTGGGGAATGGAGTTAGGAAAATTGTTTTTATATTTACTTTAGGAGCCCCACTGTGGACATTTCTGATCATTAGAATTGTCGTGCTTTTTCTTTAAATTGTGGTAAAATACACGTAACATAAAATTGACCATCTGGACCATTTTTAAGCGTACAGCTCAGTGGTATTAATTGTACAGTTCACATTGTTATGCAACCATCACCACTGTCCATCCCCAGAACTCTCTTCATCTTGGAAAACAAACTCTGTTCCCACTGAAGAATTTTCACAGCTTTGGAGTGAAGGCAAAAAGGATTCTTTAAGAGTCCCTTAATTCCAGTGAGAACAGGACGGAATGGTCTGCACTTGTAACTCCTCTTGGTTGATCAGAGCTACCCACTGAAACAACCATCCTCTCTTGGTTTCCTGGGAAAGCCTAGGTTCGTTGTGTGGCTGTCCTTGTCCCCATGGGACTGGAATGCAGCGTGCAGGTGAGGGCATGGTGGCTGCCTGTCCTGTTCTCGAGAACTGGGACCAGAATCCCTCCCTTGTGGTGCCCTTGAAGCTCTCCTCCGGACCTGCACTTTCTCCGACTTGTGTTGTGGATTTGGCAGGCTCATCCTGTCACCACGATGGGCACGTGGCTGCTGTGTTAGGCACTTCGTTAAAAAGATGAGCTCATCAGGTGGCCGGCTCCTGAGCTTCCCGCGTGATTCAGTTACCCTGTGGCTTTGCCCACCAATTGACTGCACTCTGAAAATAGCACCATCATCTCTCGGTTTCGCGGAGATTTGTGGGAATCATAAGGGACTCACACTGAGAGGTATATTGAATTATATAAAATGCTTTGTAGAAAAAAGTCAGAGTCTGGTAATTTGGATTATGAATTTTACTTTGAATAGGTAGAGCTTTCTCATTGGGAATGCAAATATCCCCAACATTTATCTTCTTTTCAAGCCTAGTAGAAAGGACTTCACGTGATCTTTTACGTTATTTATTACTTTTCACAAATAAAAGTTTTTTTTCCTTTATTCTGGCTCTTTATTTGCCTTTTCCCCTAAGTCTCCAAAACAGCAATACCAGCCAAACCAAACAGCCCTAACGAAGACAGACCTTGAGACCAAATTAGTTTCCCAACTGTGGATTATGGTGTTGAGCTGTGGTGCACTGTGGGTGTGCCATCACATCGATGGCTTAGGTATAATGATGAGAAGCTTTTTACTGGAGTGAAAGAATTTTTTTTTTTTTTGTCATGGGGCTGCTGAGGTCTATTCTAAGCCCAAAGCCATTAGGGAGACCTGCTTTCTTCAGTGCAGGGGGTAAAAAATAGACTGTTTTCTGTTTTTTTGCTTTCCTTAAAATGCTTTCTGTGGGGGTTGGGTGTTGCTGTGTTTTAAATGGGTTTTACTATGCGAGGGTGTTGTTACTGGTGAGAGCAGAGCAGTTTGTCACTGCTGCCTGTGGTTAAGTCCCAGGCCCGACACAGAGGTTGTTATATAAACCAGGAGGCAGTGGGAAGGCTTCTCCAAGTGTCCTTGTTTGTTCCATGTCAGTAGCTGCGATTTCGTCTTAAACTCGGTACCACCCATGTGCATGAAATCCAGCCAGAATGAAAGATTTGCAGCATTATCACTTAGAAGCAAATTATTCTTAGGCCCCTTTTGGGCCCTAATTATAAAACTTGTCACTTGACATCTATCTCCGCCAGAGTTGTTATTCTAATAGCCTAAAAATAGGAGTGTTGCACTCACTGTGCCGCCAGGAGGGTTTTCCTGTAGAGCCAGACAAGCCATATGGAGCTGCCACAGAAGGCAGACCAGAATGCTCCATGCGAGCTGCCCTGCATTTGGGGGGATTTGTTCCTGGAGACAGAGCCAAGACTCAGCCAGTCGGGGCTTGGGAGAGCAAAGTCAGTCTGAATGTAGTTAGAAGTGTAGGTTTGTGGATGGCGGAGCATTTCTGAAAATAATTGTTACCCTGTCTTTAAATTTTTTTTAATGTTTATTTTTGAGAGAGAGAGAGAGAGCATGAGTGGGAGAGGGGCAGAGAAAGATGGGGACAAGAGGATCCCAAGCAGGCTCTGCGCTAACAGCAGAGAGCCAGATGTGGGGCTCAAACTCAGGAACCGCGAGATCATGACCTGAGCTGAAGTCTGACACTTAACCACTGAGCCACCCAGGCACCCCTGTCTTTAAACAGCCCTAGAGCTGGAGCTGGAGCTGGAGCTGGGGAGGGCCCAGTCCTTAGTGCTCAGAGCTTTAGCCACTTCATCCCTCCCTCCAAAGGTGGCCATGAGGATTAATGAGAAAACAGACTTCAGTATTTTTTCTTTTTAATGAGCCTGAGTCTGCCAAATAAATACTGCCTCAGAGCCATCCATGTGAGTTGTTGTCAGCTTCCTTATAAAAAGATAAGTAGGGCTGCATACCCTGTTAGGAGCTATGCGTAAACATTTTGCCATCTATTTACCTTATTGATATGTATGTGTGTATATATTTTTGTCTTTGACCCATTTGAAATTTGTGGACATCATACTCTATTTTCTAATGACTTTGAACGATTTCTTTGCCACGCTAACCATTTTCCTTCACCATTCAGCAGGGATTTAAGGATGCTTTTTTCTTCCAGATGTTTCGTTTCTCCTTTTGGTTTTCCTACTGAGGACTCTCACTGATCTGTCTCCCACTTGTGCATCTTCTCTGCCATATTGGACCCTGGTCTGCTGCTTTTGTGTTCATGCTTTGGTTGGTTCCACCCTGAGTGCTCTGGTTTACCCCAGATTCAGAGCCCCTGCCCGCTCCTGGGGATCCTGCAGGGGCAGTCGAAATTTGCGCAGATGTGGAGTGGAGGGCCCTTGTCTGCAGGCGGACACTGACTCACTCCCCTTGTCACTTTTTAAAAAAAACTAAACTTTATTTTTTAGAACAGTTTTAGATTTACAGAAACACTGTGAAGGTAGTGTAGGGAGTTCTCATATACCCCACACCCAGTTTCTCCTATTGACATATTAGCATGGTGTATTTGTTACAACGAATGAACCGGTACTGATGGATTATGGTGGTAGGCAGAATAATGCTGCAAGCCTGCGAATGTGTTAGGTTCCATGGCAAAGGGGAATTAAAGGATGTAGATAGAATTAATTGGGTTGCTAATCAGTGGACCTGAATATAGGGAGATGAGCTTGGATTATCTAGGGGGGCCCAATGTGATCACAAGGGTTTTTAAAACCGGAAGAGGAACTCATCCTGGTGTTGCTGGCTTTGAAGATGGAGGAGGGGACCGAGAACTAAGTGAGGGAGCTGCGGCCACTCAGAGCTGGAAAAGGCAAGGAAAAGGGTTCTCACCTTGAGGCTCCAGAAAGGAGGCTGTTGACACTTTGACTTTAGCTCAGTGAGATCTGTATCAAACTTCTGACCTACAGAACTATAAGGTAATAAATTTGCTTCTTTTAAGCTATTGTGTTTGTACTAACTTGTCACAGCAGTGGTAGAACATAAAGACAGTGATTGTTAACTAAAGTCGGTGTTTTTAAAAAAAATTTTTTTTAATGTTTATTTTTGAGACAGAGAGAGATGGAGCCTGAGTGGGGGAGGGGCAGAGAGAGAGGGACACAGAATCTGAAACAGACTCCAAGGTCAGAGCTGTCAGCACAGAGCCCGACGCGGGGCTCAAACTCACAGACCGTGAGATCATAACCTG